GCTTTTCACAATAAATTTAGAGACTAGAATTTTGTCCACAGATGAGAATCTAGGCCCTTGAATAAAGTCAATATGTGTAATAACAGGGGACTTCATCCAAACCGACTCCTGATGGGTGGGCAGTTGCTGAATACGGTTATTTGAAAACCGTTCTATTTTACTGCGTACTTTACACTTGTTAAAACGAACTAACAGAGGAATATTGGATGGGCATGCCTAATGCGCAACAAGAACAGCGAAACCAGCCGTGTGCTTGTTAATTTTCTCCAGCTGTTCTCAAACGGACTGTCGTTCGGCATTGCAGCTTGAACCAAAATTTTAGTGTCGTACGTCAACTTTTTCAGTTCACTTCCCTTGTTGCTTTATTGTTATCCGAAACAACTTTCTACTTCCACAAACAACACCCATCTTCAATTTAACAATTTTCCTCTTCACACTCCATTCATCCTCAAAACCGGTGTTTGTGCTTTTATCCATAAATCAATTGCTTCTACCCCGCTTTCCCAATTAAATTTCACCAACCATGAGTGCCAGGCTATGTAGCTGAAACTCCAGTTCTTTTCTTTCAATCATTACTTCTGCACTGCATAGCATTTCCAAAATGGTAGTGACTCTTCCCTCTTGGATATTTTATCGCCAAACATTGAGAACATCGTGGAAGCAGACCTCAGTTCACATTTTGAAGTGATTTAAACATCCATAACAGGGAATGGCTAGTAAACTCTTCAGGGATATCGGCCCTTTGGACGTGAAGCAGAATCATTTGTCTTTTTGCACAACGTATACCAAATGGTCGATTTCTGACCTGTATCCCCGACCACGCTCATACCCTCACATCCAAACCACAATTATTTCCAAATGTTGTAGCGATTCCTCCCCTGGGCTCATCGGATCATTGCCTTAGTTCGCTCTCTACCGAAATTGTATGTCCCACTGTCCCTCTCAGTTCCAAACAAAGCCTAGATTCGCCTGCACATGATTGTTGAAGTCATATATGGGGTAGAGCTTTGCCCACTAGTGTCTCTTCCTGATCGGGTTCAACATAGGGCCATTGACAAAATATTGAAAATCGGTTTTCGTAGCTCGGGTGAACTGAATTCCATTTCGCCTGTTCGCCGAGCTTGGCAATTTGTTTGCAAACGTTTCATCACCAGCCGAGGTGACATCATCAGTGCTTGTGAAGTGGCCTTGACAGTTCTCCTGCTCTTCTTGTATAACCTCCTTGTACTTGGTAAGACGTCTGTGAGCATCCAAGATCATCATGCGCCTTCCGAATTGGTGTGAAATCCTCCAGGCCTCCGGGTGATTGATCGATGGTCTGTGATATACGCTCTGTGGAAGCAGATTGCGCCGTAGGCAATCGTGAAGAAAAAATAGCTGCTCGCGAGTGGAGTGGGCCATTCGTCTCAGCATCGACCCGTCCCCAACACGTAATTTGCAGTCACTAGCAATGCCGTTTTTATAGCGGCGTCTATACCACTTAGACAGACGCGCCTTTTTTTAATGAATATGGTCATCCTCATTAAAACCTTGATTTATACATCTTACATTATTGATACGTGGGGGTTATTTCAAATTAGTTTACAAATCTGCTTCGAGGTGGAAAATTTATTGAAAATATCTGATTTCTAGGTATATTGTTACTTCAAAATGCAGCCTGTTAATTGTAGAAGGTCCAAATTACCGTTTCGCAATTCCGAAGGTTTGGGGGTTTTGCGGCTATCCTATAGTAAACCTAGAATAACTTTTTGTGGAGATCTGAGGAGACAAGCCGTTTTATCGATGCATTCATCAACTGGCCATTACGGTTGTATAGTTATTTGTTTCCAATGTGGCAGTCGGTATTTTTCTATTATCTGAGGAACCAATGAGGTGTCCCTCAGTAATCTTGCTTGAATTACATTAAGCTGCACTTTTCACAGTGAGTTTTATTGGTGGTGGCGTAACAACGGTTCACTGAACTGAGAAGCCTTGAAGTAGTCACTTGCTAACAACGGTTATCAAAATCTCGTTCTCTTGCCCCTCATCCTACCTGAAAGACCGACTGTCAGTGACGACAATATTAACTATATTTCAAAATGTTTTTCGTTTGCTGTATGAATCTAGCTTATTTACCCGCTTCACTTACATCCGGTTTCCACATTGAGAATCGGTTACACCTATTGTTATCTACCTTCGTCATTATTTTTCACGATATCGTTCATTAGCCCCCTCCCTGTCGAGTCACATGTGCGTCTCGCTTTCTTATTTCCCCCTCTCCAATAGCTTTTAGATCCCTGGAACATTTATTTGTCACAAATTTCCTTGATAGTGTATTTCGTGGAACTGATCACGCCAGGGTTTATGACAACTAAAACGAAAGATTAAGAAAACAGCATGTGCCTTGTCCGATGTTCAAAATAATTCTTCTGTTAGAGGTTTCCTGTTGATATGGAATCTAGGCCAGGGTAAAAGTCTCTAACGTGTTCTCATTCAAGATTTGTTTTTTCCTTTTTGTTCTAGACGAACGGTCATGTCCGGTCCCAACTGGGTGATCTCTTGCCACGGCCAATGACAGAAAAGGTGGACATTTTACCTTTTCTACCAGACGCTATACAACAAAATTTTGATAATTCGAAAATGTTTGATACAAGTATAAACTCCAACCTGGCGTTATCTTCATGCGGCGGCCTGGAGCACTCCAATGGCGATATACCTCAGACACAATTCACTTTCCCGTTATCCAAGGTCGAGTGTTCCGATTTATTCTCATCAGATGGAGACACCAAAGGGGCCATAGCTAACAACCACGTGAAATGCACCCTTGAACCAATCTCCTCCCTGTTCGCATCCTGTGGTGCAGTCTCTATACCCAAACCTCTGACCCTCTCAGAAAAACCTGTCAATATGTCAGTTGTTCAAAATCAACTGCCTGAAACCGAACAACCGTATGCGACCGATTTTTCCAACATAATCACTTCTACTACCAGTGACACTACCACTACATCATCATTTGAGAACAGTGGAAGCCCTCCAACCGATAATGCTGATAATAACCCATCGAACTCGAGTGCAGATACAGAAGCACTGGCTGCTACCGCGACAAACACCAGCAATAAACTTAGCTTACCTACTAAAAATGCATGTTCAGATGTGGAAAACTCGCCTCGAAACACCAGTCCGCCTAGTTCGCCGTTTTTAGAAAGCGTCCGAGCATGACAAGCACCGTGATACCAGTAACTCAACCAAGCTGAGACGAATATCACGAGCCACGTTTGTTGCTCGCCTTAACCGGTTTACACCCTTCCCACCCCGTTTCACATTCATCATCTACCTATCTGATATGCACACTCATACACACTGTCATTCTGCATCCGCAATCAACGCCATACCGCAGCTATTCAATGTACAGTTATGTTCTAGGTACATGTTCACTTATCAGATTCAATTTATTCCTTGTTGGTTTTGTTGTTTTCTCCTAATAACTGTCCACACAAACATCGTTCTTTCTTTCTCTCGGTCAGCTGCTTCTTTTTGTTTGATTGTTTCATCCTGTTCTCTTCTTTTCTGTCGTAAATCCATTTTATCCACTTAGTTCACTCGCATTACTTCTTTCCGCCTGTTTGCCCGCTTGCGCGTGCTGTGATAAGGCTAATGTTACAATATGCGTCTACCCCAGCCCATTTTCATCTCAACTCGTGACCTGCAAGTAGGCGCGTATACTTTTAATTTCTCTGTTGTTTTTCTCCTCACCTTCCGACAAATTTGTGAATGTGGACAATTGTAATAGGATAATCACGCGAGTTTTTGTCTTGGTAGTTTATGCGCAAAAGGAAAATAAAGTTTGCGTTGACATTCAGTTTGAGATAAACTTTGAATAGGACAGGCGTGGTAGTGAACCGGGCGACGGCAGAGCTGTCTACCAGCCAAGCTTTTGATGATCAAGGCATTCTGTTTGTCGTCTCAGCGTTTGCACCCATTTGCTGAATCCCAGATACGGCCGAAAATGCTTTCTACGGAAAACCACACGACCCCTTGCGTAAGGCAAATCGGGCTGATATCATGATTTTAGCAGGGATATGAATGCTAAGAGTAGGCCGACTGACTTGGAGTGAAGCACATCTGGAGGGTCCGATTGATCTAGATTCTTGTCGCTCCGAAAACGGGGAACGGCTGTTGACTCTATGTTCTGACAACCGCCTATTTCTTGCCAGTGCCATCCAACAGCCGATACACCTCTTGGCGTCCATCCTTCGCGAGTCAGCGACAAACGCAGATCTACCACATAGCTCTAAGCCACAAACGGCGCGGTTGCACACAAGACTGAAGATCGAATTGGAACACTGCCCTATAATCCCGTCACGCAGTAGTTTGCGACGAACTGCCCATATGCTTCGGTGAGTGTTCTAAGCGCACAACACAGCGACTGTCAGACTGATACATTGTCTCAACCAATCCCACCTGATAACGAGAGTCAACACGGGTCGCTTATCAAGAATGCTGTACACTCCACTAGCTTAGTTAGCTGTGGTCTGACACGTCTTGATACCCTGGATTTCTGCTGAGTCTCTGCGCCTTCTTCACGAACGCTGGTCACTTCCGACCGGCAGTGAACACAACGTAACACAGCTTGTAACGAGACGTGAAGGTAACGTAAGCCTATACAGAGATCGAGAAATCTGGTGATGTCAACGCGTACAGTAATGGAACGTACTGCCGCCATAAGCTCTTTCATCTCATTCGAGTCACCGGTAGCTCTGGCTGTGAGCGAAATGATCTGTGATGCGGACGGCTCGCGTGTTCACAATCAACAGCAAAGTTTTGCACTCTGAGTGGAGCAGTTCAAAGCATAGTTTAGATAGCCATCAGCGTCAGCCTATCACAGATATTCCGGCACATGCCCCATGATCTGTCTCAACTAACCCACAATCTGAAGCGCAAATCGAAATCTTAGTACGACGAGAGTGCACCTTGACGTATTGTGGTGACTTGCGCACCTCTCTGACCCATTGAGATATACAGGATGACTTTCATCAAGCCAGGAGATCTTATCATGTCTGGAGGGTCGACGAAGTCCGGTCTCCTGGTCTTCCAGGTTTGTGGTTCGACTAGAATTGGTTTGTCGGTACAAAATGATGGAGGAGTAATCGATCCAAGTAAATGAGCCTCACCCGCTGCATTGCGGTTAGGTTCTTGTTAAAACTGAAGGCTTTGGACGAAAACCGTAATCACTCCCCTGCTTAGTGGCTGGACACCCCATAAGTACCCGTCCATCAAACTCCAATGCATATGCATTGTGTTTGGCAGCGATCAGTGAAGTTCGCTTCCCAGTATTTCGCTGTACAACGATGATATCTGCTGCGTGTCGGAGACTCGTATTCAGGATCCCACTACTATAAGCCACTTGAGCGCGCCAGATTTGTCCTCGAGATACGNGACGATGAAGCCCGTTCAGTAGGTCAGCGCGGGGTAGGTCTTGTACTCAGTAACAGGGCTGAGTCCTCTCTCTTATCAATTGGATCCCCGTCAACAGCCGTTGATGTGCAGTTCTTCTCCAGGGTTCAGCCAGTGTCCGTAAGAGAAACAGCACCAAAGAGTGTTTGTTCATTACATCGGCATATGCACCCATAAACTGCAGTTCTCATATACAAAAGGACGCTTTCGACGATAGAATCACCGATCTCATTCGGATGAGTTGGCGCTCCGACAGTTGTATTTGCATGTGACTTCAACGCCCAGGTTGTGATCTGTGCAATTAACGAACAGATAATGGTGATCGACTTCATCAGTTCAGCGCAGACCAGAATCTGCTCCTATCCAGTACCAGCTTCCGACACAACACCCGACGGACGAGGCGCTCCAATTTAACCGGAATGTTAACTCGAATCGACCAAATAGTAGTAAGCTACCGTTGGGGTTGCTCAGTGCCAAATTATAGGTCTCATTGGAC